TGTTTTGAGCTCTTTTGTGTTTAGAACAATATATACTAATTTTTAAAGTATCAAATTGAATTTTTGTTCAATAAAAATATTTCAAATGTGACTGTAGCTTTTTTTCCCCCAAAACTTTGTCTTCAAAATAAGGGTGCGTCTTATACACCGGTGCATCTTATATTCCGAAAAATATGGTAAATACTGATTAATATATAGTTCTATGTTAGCTTGGTTTGATCAGAAGTTAATTATAGTTTCCTCACCAACTTCAAATAAAATTTCTCCAGCATAATCTGACTTTCATCAAGATTAAAAGACATCTGTACTTTGTACTATCAGCAAACTTATTAGTAAGTTCCCGTATCAAAATTTGAAATGATTGAAAACCCTATGCTGTATATGTGTGTACTGAGGAGTTTTGGAGCCTTCTTTATTTCAATTGCATCTGCATGAAGTTTTATGTTCAGGTTGCAATATTTAAAAGTCAGACATATACATTTTTCATAGCAGTAATCTGCATTATTCCTATAGATAGTTATGCTGAGGTAAACCTATTTAAACCTTCACCATTAATGTTACAGTCGAAAAAATGTTTAAATATTATTTCAGACAAATACATTCCAAATAGTGTATTTTTATTAGAAAATATAAATCTATTGTAAATATATGTTTCAGATGTATTTATTTTTGTATACTGCCCACTACTGCTGTTAGTAATCAGTACGTAGTAGGCAATCTCAAAGATGTATTTATATCTTTGTTCCTAAATTGACTCAGATCTGTTCTTGAGCCTCAGTTTTTCTGACATACAAAAAAAATGCTGCTTCTGCAAAATTATCTGTAATTACTGTGAATTTCAGTCAGTTTAAGTTTTGGAGTGCTCATTTAAGCTATTTCTTCATTTATTTTCTGCTCTTCCTTCCATCTTAGTGGATATCCGTGCTTCCATTTGCAGAGGACCTGCAAGGTATTTCTTGTTACGCGTTTCTTCTACAGAGGGGGTGATCATGATATGTAGTTAAAGTGTAGGTATTAATGTCTAGGCCTTACAGTCCCTTCTTCATTTTACTATTCATAGAATCCTCCACTCAACCTGTTGTAAGTACGAAAGCTCTTCGTACTGTATGTTATTACTAGCGTGTGTTTCTTGAAGTAGTCGTTGGCTGAAATAGTAGTCTCTCTAGAATTTTAGCCAATGGAAAAGTGTTATTTATATTAGCCTACAGAAGAGCTGTATAAATAGTAAGCTAGTCTTTTTGGTGTTCTGCCATATGAATTTGATACATGCACTAGTGAAACCACTATTTGTAATCAGGATGCTTTAAGTGAATTGCAATTAAAAGGTTCAGGTTTTTAATTTATGTAATCAAAGTCCATGGGGATGGTCAAGGGTAATGATGCATATAGTTATTATTTATCTTGTAATTGTGTGACAGTTTTGGCAGCAATCTGTGAGTTAGGGTCTAGCTGGTTAGGTAAATGCCTCTTTGTTCTCAGGACAAGAAATTTTCTTTCCTCACCGTGGATATTGTTCTTTGTTCTTCCATTTGGTTCAAACTTGATATGAGAAGAATACGTCTGATTGATGTTTTCTAGCCATGATATTAGTGCTTTCTATAGTGGGGTAATGATTTTTCATAGATTTGTGTTGAATAGAGAAGATAGTTTGCCATTTCTGTTTTCCATTAACTTCAAAACCATTTGACTTGAAGATATGCAGGAAGTTTTGTGGAGTTTTTGTATAATAGGGTTAACTGTCTTTCTCTTTTGTTTTTTCTGTAAGTCATGATTATAGAAAAACTGATCAGTCAGGATTCATTCATTGTTTCTAAACCTTTTTGTGTGGCCTTTGGTCAAACAAATCTATACGGATCATGTAGACCATATTTGATGAACTGTAAGGATAGTGTTTGTAGATGTATTTCATATGAGATAAACTGGTTGAAAAAGCTCCGGTTACATCTCTTTTTAACTCTTCTTCTGGGTGAGTAATTTCCACAGCTGTTGTTTCCTGCATTTTAGTAGTGGAATTTTTTGATGCATGGGGACATATAAGGTGTATTTGACACACAAGTTACTTAAACTTCTCTTAGTTTACCAGGACTAAATATCTGCCTATTCAGGTGTCTTGGCATATTCCAGCTTATTTTAATAATTCTGACACAGATAATGCAAGATATGAGGTTGTACTTTTTATTTTAAGAGTAAAATAACTTTAAAAAAGAAATACATTTCTTTATAGCAGTCCTTCTCCTCTATTTTGAATTTAAATAACTTCTTGGAGGTTTAGCTTCAAGGTAGGCTAGGTAAATCATGAATACTTTACATTGAAGGTCCTTTAAGGAGTGACTTAAAAGAGGAATGGAGACATAGTGTCAATAGTACATAGTAGTGTAAGTGCACAACCAACTTAAAATTGCCATGCACCAATGTTCCTTCTAATTTTGCGATCCATGTGTGGAATAAATTTTTTTCATGTGCACCAGTATCAAGGCAATGTGTGGATGTGTGTGCTACCAGTTTTTTTAGAGCGGGGGGTTTGTTAGACTATTGACCCTATTGGATCATTAGGCTTCTTTGCAATGCTACCAGTTGGTTATTTGGGTTTAGGCCTATCAGCTTCCTGGGTAATTAAGACCGTCAACGTGTTGAGACTCTTCACCATTACTGAGAATGTGTGCAGCTGGAATAATGAAGTTTGCGGCAGTTGATTGGTTGTTGTGCAGCTTAGAGGGAACACTGCCATGCACTACCAATATTTTTTATGCCTAATTCTAATACTTCATTACTTGAATGCTAAGTTAACACATTTCCAATTCTTCACTCAATCTGTCGTAACTATGAAAGCTCTTCTTACGGTATGTTACTACTAGTCGTGTGTGTTTCTTGAAGTAGTCATTGGCTGAAATAGTAGTCTGTCTAGAATTTTGGCCAATGGAGAAGTATCTTGTTACTCCTTAATATTTTATTCTTAAGGCAGTGTCTTAGTAAGCAGTTGGTGCAAGGTAAGGAGAAATTTAGTGTTTTTGCAATTCGTTTAACCTAATGTCAAAAAGTAAAGTTTTATAATGTCAAATTTGTTTTTAGTCTTCAATCAATACAAAACTTTTGAATTTTTATGATATTTGCATTTAGTTTGCCAATATTAATCAGTAATTCATGTTTACAATGTGTATAATTGAGAAGAGCATAAATTTTGTTCGTTTTTTGGAAATATAAAAGTTGTATATTATAGAGAAGGTTTTCTCTATTACTTGAAAGGTATTCTTTGCATGTTGTATTTTCATAAACAACTTGAAAGCATTTTGAGGTAAAAATAGTTGTTTCATTTGAACATATCTTATGTCAAAGAAAACCTCAGATTACATTTTAGAGCACTTTAATATCATCCAGCTTAAGCAGTCCCTTGGCTTCGACATGGATTTTCCAGTCATGGAGGCAGCTAATCTTTTGGTGCACCACCAACTTTTGTAGTCACCCTATGCCCCTGAAGAGAAATGATGTTATATAGAGAATAGATACAATTGGAAGCACGCTGTAAATCAGACAGTACATATTTATACTCTGTGGGTGTTTTGGAATATTTTATATTTCGTTATGGGTTATTTCAAGATGAATTTGTAAGAACAGTGATTTGAGAAGTGAATACTTATTTAAAACATATGCTTCAAAAATGGAGCATTTAGAGTTTATTGACTGCATGCAACATAAATAGTATTAACTAATTTATAAATCATTCAATCTCACTCTCAAGAACACAAACAAAAAGAATATCTAGTTTACAAACTGTCACTGATTTCATTCTGACTGAATCATACCATTTATAAATCATTCAATCTCACTCTCAAGAACACAAACATGAAGAAGATCTAGTTTACAAACTGTCACTGATTCATGTATGTCTTTCATTCTGACTGAATCATACCGTTTATATACACTTGCTGTCTTGAAACAGTTAGATTAGGTATAATGAAAAATAACAGTTAATCACGAGATAGCAAATGCATCTTTTCTTAACCTTTGGCTAATCAGTTTACTTTATCTGCAGATTTTGAAAGTAACAAGATTTTTGCTCTTATTATTCTAGAAGCTTTAACCTTGACAACTAACTTTACTGCTGGCATTGAGTGGTATCTTCAGAAGGGTCTTTTTAAGTCTGTTATTGAAAACTAGTTGAAGGAAATTAACACACAGTATTTGGGAACTTACAGTAGTACATGAAAATTAGTTGCCAAGAGATTCCCTGCTTAAAAAGCACAGAAATTGATACTATTACTATTTTTTATTACAGTGACTTAAATTGCAGACAAGCAACATGCATAAAGACTTGTTTTCTTTCTGTACAGTACTTAAATCACAAAATTATTTTACTATCTTTGATGTATAATTAATCCAATAATTCTTTTAGTAGCTCAGCTACATGTATATACATGGGTTCATAATATAATAATTTAAATCATTATTCAGTATATTCTTTGTTTTAATTAAATATTAGTTATCTTAGCCACATGACTTGTGTGAAAGCTTTTGTTAGTTCAACTATTTCTGTTTTATAAGTTATTATTTTTTTTCACCAGAGAAATCTGAATGTAAATTATGTGTTGATATGATTATAAATTGTTAATGTTCAGTATCTGTAAACTTTTAGCACATTAGATTGAAAGTTTAATTACGATAATGAGACCTTTCAGTAGTTATGGCTTTTATAAACTTCTTATGTAATAATTATTTACATTAACAATTCAAGCATGAAAATAAAAGTAGATGTATATTCTTTGAAATAATATTGAAAACTACAAGTTGTTAGACTGCCTGTAGCCAGTGCAGTAGTATAATATTCTGTTTTACCAACTTTTGTGAGTGTTTGTTATTCACTGTATTATAAATTGTTGTGTACGCAGGGTGTGAAGAGTGCCAACAATTCAACGAAAGAGAATGTCCAAATCACATGGTACAGTTGATAGTCGATAAGCCTGTCTTGAGCCGTGCATGGGCAAGTTTACCAGCAACTTACCTCTACCTTCATAAAATATCTGGTGCCAGTAATGAATCTGGTAGGTCTCTTCTTATATTTGAGTTACAGGTAAAACATATAATAAATGAATGTCATTTATGACATCTGATCAAACAAATGTGACCCATTTGGTATCTTGAACATGAATAACACCTTGTGCAATACTTTGAATAAACAACTAGGTCAGAGTCACTTACGGTTAATACACAGTCATTCCAAATTTAGAATTGGTGGGGTAGAGGCAATGAAGTCAGTAATTTCCACTTCCTGTGCAACTACTTTTAATTGAATAATGAGATTAATTGTCAAATTTACAAAACCCAACAGTTGAAAGTAGAGCTTGAACCTGGACCAGGGCTTGCAATAGTACCGGCGGTGCCAGTTTACCGATACCGGTACTCAAGCATCTCTATCTTTGTGACTTGAGTAGTTAGAAATTCAACTATTCTTCCCACTGTGTTCTCGTGGGAAACTTTTATTTCACATCAAACCAAATTGTCAATTATTTGTAAGCCCACATGATATGAAGACTATGGCAATGAATCAGTTGAAACCTAGGCTTTTTACTGATTATAAATTTAATGGGAGTCGGGCTCAGAAAAATCTATTAGCAAATATTAAATTAGAACATGTTGTCAGAGGTAGGCATGGAAAGTGGTTTTTGAATTTTCATTGATTGCTCTTTAGCCCCATAAGATTAAAGAATATAAAAATATAGCTTCAGAATATCAATGACAAAATTATAGAGAATATTTTACACTACATTTCATAGTTTTCTAGGGGGTGGACAAAAAAAATCTAGAAGAGGAGACGGCTCAAGAACAAATATTCAATTCTTATACAAGGGGAATTTGAGGTTGTTTTTAAATATTTCCTTATATAATTAAAACGTAAAACATATATAATATTAAAATTTGATTTATTATCTATGGTTTGATGTCAAGTTTGTTCGTATACTGTGATAATTAAGTAGTTTAATTAAATTTTGAATGTAACGTGCTAAAACGTCGTGACATGTGCAGTTTGACCTGCCCGCATGCTAAAGGTTAATCATGCACACATCTACCTAAAGTGCAATCAGTCACATAGGCACATTAACGTTCTCTTCCAGAGCAGGGAGTTACCAGTTTCCCATATGTGATGCTATTGCCGATTTTCACGTGAGATTCAGTTATCGACTGAAGTACGAACTCAAAACTACCGCATCAAACATTTATAATTCTGTGAAAAGCGAAGCTGAAATACCAGAGGAGGCAAAACTTCGAAGATGGGATGTGATAACAGATATTAATTGTAACATATGATATACTTTTATACTGACTGCAAACCCTGACTTGGACCTTGTTTACAATAAGAACTGATTTAAAAATAACTTATACAATGAACTTTTACTTTCATTGAATTGCCTGTGAATGAACACTAATTTTTCAAGCAATATTAGTAAACATTTAAACAATAACTTATTGAATGAATAAAAACAGCTTGTACACCTGGGTTTTTAAAGCTTATGAACCTTGGGTTATGGGAAAGTATAATAATGTGCCACATAATGTTTAGAAAGCTGAGGTTACAGTTAATAGTCATTAACAGAAGAGCTAAGGCCAAGGGTAATACAAGTGATGACTGTGTTTTCAGTGATACTACTATGGTGTAAAAAAAATATTGGCAGAAAATTAACTGTTATTTTCAATAGTTCAGTTTCGTAAGTAACAAAAAATAAATTTTTTTGGAAAACTTATTTTTCATTGCAGATTATTTTGGTTAATGTAATTAACCTTTGCTGTTACTCTTAAATTAGCATCTCTATGATTTATACATATTTGTACTACTTTTTTGGAGTAAGCTAGTATTATAATTTTGTCTCGAAATTTTAGGTTTAAAAAAGAAAATTATGTTTAATACAATAGCAAAGACTTTGCATATTCAGCTGTTTTTTTTAGAGAGAAATGCACTCTTATGTTGTTGGTTCTTTGTAATCAGTAATAATCTTGATTATTATTTCAGAATATGGAGTTTTTGCAAAGAAGACAATACCAAAGAGAACACAATTCGGACCACTTGAGGGTGTTCTGTTGAAAACAGAAAACAGACCCAGCAGCAGTTTTGTTCTTGTTGTATGTAAAAGATTTATATTTTCTTTTCCATCTTGTTTTTTTTTTTCTCTTTCTTATCTTCTTCTTCCTTCCTGTAAATTATCTTGTTCTTCATACTGAAAATGTATCAGACAACAAAACACTATCAAAAAATAGGAGTCTGTTGTTTTGACTGTAACTTTATGTATTTATCTCAGAATCTTATTAATACTAATACACCAAAAGAAAAAATTAATTGATAGAACTTGTCAACGGCTAGAACACAAATGACAAAAAGTTTAAAAAATAAGATAACTGAAAATTGTAAAAGGGTCAATATCTGGTGTACTTAGAGATTTTCTGGAGTTTACATAAATCCATTATTTAAAAATAATCATTCTTTTTCACATGCTTTACAGACAGTTTATTTATGTTATCGTACATAAATGCTTGATATATTAAAAATTAAATGTAAAAAGAGAAAACCCATAATGTTAGTTGTGAGTTGCGTGAGAAAGCTAAATACACTTAAAAGATCACTAATGAACTACTGCTGTATTTGTAGTAATTCATAGTATGTTGATGATCAATAAAATTATTAATATAACATATTTATAATAAAAATATTGAACAGTTATTCATGAAGACAATAAAATATCTATAATTAAAGATAAACAACTTAGTATGGTTGGTTGTGTTTTCATGTGTCTATATGTACATACGTGTTTAGAAAATTGTAAGTACTGCAAGTTAATAGATAGTATATGTTTATAAAGAAAAACTGTAAAGTATAATTAACAGTTAATTTTTAGTGTCTGTTAGGGTAGAAATTCAAATCTGAGAACTACACAATTGTGCAGAATATCTCAGTTACATTGGAAACATGTAAAGTGGTAGTGATCATTTGAGCAACATTAAAATTTTTGGTTGCATAATATGTTTTTCTTACTGAGTTTCTCTTCAAATAATTTCACTGAAAACTTGTAAGTCTTTCTGTATTGGAAACAATGTGTTTAGGTGTCTGTAAGAATTAAACTGTTGTAAACTGACTTTATTCACAAGTTTTAAGTCTATCATGCTTGTCATTGTTGCAAATATATTATTAATTTAGGTGTTATTTCCATTACAGTTGTATCTTAATGCTCATTTTTATGTGTGTTTTAATTTGAATATCATTTTCTTATCTTCAAATTTTCCTGCTTCTGAAATCTACTCTGCATAAAGCATGTTCCTGTAGCTGCAAATTTATTTGTTGTTGTGACCTTTCTATGTTATTGAGAGAGGAGAGATTTAGCATCAGAATGAAGTATGATCTTAATTACTGTAACTGCTAACAATAGGTATACTCTGCAATGGAAGATTGTTCAGTTATTTAAAATATATATATATATTTGAACTTTCTAATTTTATCTCTGTTTGGTTTCTCTACATTTTAATGATGAAACAAATTTATCTGTGACATTTTTTCAGGAAATAAACGTAGGAGAATTTATCTTCAAGTTATATTTGTATTCATAGAAAAAGAATAACAGATGATAATTTTTACCCAGGTTGAACAAGATGATGATCACACTGTGTACCTGGACACTGTAGATGAATCACGTAGCAATTGGATGCGTTTTGTAAGACCAGCGGAAACTTACTGGCACCAGAACCTTGTGTTAGTACAACAAGGCCAGTCCCTGTACTTCAACACAACTCGAGCCATAAATCCTAGGACAGAACTTAGAGTTTGGTACTCTTCAGCATATGCTGAAAAATGGGGCCTTCCCTTACTGGAAATGCCAGAGGAAGAAAGAAAAGGTATTTTAAATATTTCTTGGTATATTTGTAACATCATTTAAGAAAAAGTATGCTTAAATATGACAATCATACGAGTTGTAAATTAGCATATTTTGTGTACCTGCAAGATAAGTTTGTCTTTATTTTCCCCACAGATAAATAATTGAACATGCTCTGAAAAATTAAAACTTATAGTTTTGCTTTGGTGTTAATGGTTTATATTTGGAATTTTTTTATTCAAATTTATCCTGTATTTACTAAGTTTAGTGTTTCTTGTTAAAAAAACAACAACTTTTGCCATTTTTTCTCTTTCTTTACTCAGTTTGTCAACTTGTGTCATTTGATAAAGACCAGTAAATTACAGTCAGGGCAGTTGTGACAGCATATTAATTATATACCAGGGCTAATAGCACTTTGCAAAGCTTAAAGAAATAATTTTTATTTTTTTTTATTAATCTTAGTATTTTATTTATGGAAGCTTAATTAATGATACTGAAGCATTAAGATCACTATATTGTGCTTGTTTATCTAACTTATTGAAGAAGTATAATTTAAAAAGAAAAAATATGTTCTGACATTCAGTTTTTATTAGAAATAATTGTTATTGTGTACATAACATTTTACTGTTGATATAACTTAACCTTCAAAAGTAAAAAAAAATAAAACTTCATGTTTTGAAATGATTACTGTACTGCTAGCTCTAGAAGATGAGGAAAATTCATGGCCATGTTTTGAATGCAACAAACGGTTTCCCACATCAGTAGAATTGCAGAAACATCTTAATCAACATGATGAGGAACCACCTCAACCGCTTGTAACTCGCAGTCGAGGTAGAGGACGTACTACAAGAAGTGGATATTGCTCTAATCAGACACTTAAAGTAAGTTAATAAATACTTAAGAATTGTTTATATCACATTTTGAAAGTTTTCTGATTGATGGTGTTTTTAAAATTTTTCTCTTATGAATTATTTTTTTCCACCACTAAAATGTTGAATAATGTCATCATCACTTGAGCTAATATTAATATTTAAAACACTGTAAAAAGGAATTATATTTACCTTAATATGCTTTAATATCTGAAAATACAGTGCTAATTTCATTGGACCAAAACAAAATGATACAAATGGTAATAAAATTGGTTTATTTAGAACTTTTAAAACTTGCACTACATAGATCTTTTTCTGCTCATGTCACAAGGTTCTGTTGAGTTACATTCAAAATTTAATTAAACTACTTTCTTATCCCTCATCAGCACACCTGATAAAAGGTAATTTATATTTATTTCAATTTTTTTAGTGGTTACAAGGTCAGTTAAATTGACCAACTTTGTATAGAGTTAAGGTAGAGAAAATAACAGATAAAATATAAAGTTTTGCTGAAAAACGTTTGAAATTTATTTAAGAGGTTTTAGAGATTATGTGAATGAAATTTAAGATTTTTCAGATGAAGAAAAGTATTTTTAATCTTAACATCAAAATCCCTTTGCACTCTGAGCAGTTATCACTTTGACTTCATATATTCTTGGTGAAATTTTTTTAGTGAAAATACTTCATTAAAATTATGATTGTTTTGTCTACAAATGACTTAATAGCTATTAAATCTTGCAAAAATTTATGAAGATACACAAAACATGTTAGAAGTTTTTGTATAGAAATTATAAAGGTCAACTTGGGGTCACAAACTCAGCCTATTCGGTCAAGCCCGTAGCAAGAGAGCTAATATAATGTTTATGAAAATACTGTTTAAACTTCAGTTGTTATAGAACTTTTCCTATTAAATCCAATGAAATTGATAGAAATTGTATTGTATGCACCTTGCAGATCAGTGGACATTAGCTTAAAGACAGGTCCTGCTTTTAAAATATTTAGAAGTAATTAACAACATGTAAGTTGATAATTATTACATCTGTACTTGGTTGATAAAACCACTTGACAATCTGGATTATAGTACGGTTTATAACTTTTTCTTGTTGATCAAACAAATTGAATTTTTTCAGAAGTGTGAAAGCTAATCTTTCAATAGCTGGTCTGTCAAGCCAGTTATGCCTTAGGGGTAAAAAGTATTTTGAGCTGTAATGTTTTAGTTACTCCAGGTTTATGATATAGTTGTAAGAAAAACAAATCATAAAAGCTTATTACAATAGTTTGTAACTGAAAAAGCTAGAATTTTTATACTCATTAGTTTCATAAAAAACAAATTAATGCACAGTTTTCTTTTACAGAACTGCAGTTACAGCAATTCAGTTCTCTTCAATAACATCTCTTTAGTAACGTACTGATAGTATCATTTATTCACATTCAAGTGTAAAACTGGTTTTTTATTATCCCATTATTTAACTGCAGCAGTTCAATAGCATCTCAAAAACCAGTTTTACACTTGAATGTGAAGAAATGATACTATCAGTATGTTACTAAAGAGATGCTATTGAACTGCTGCAGTTAAATAATGGGATAATAAAAAACCAGTTTTACACTTGAATGTGAAGAAATGATACTATCAGTATGTTACTAAAATTATCCCATTATTTAACTACAGCAGTTCAATAACATCTCTATAGTAACATATTGATAGTATCATTTCTTCACATTCAAGTGTAAAACTGGTTTTTTATTATCCCATTAAATTATTATATATATTGGCTGAATCTTTCACAATGTAGTTGTTTTAGGGTAATTTGACTTTTATCTTTATCTATGAAATCCTCAATACATGTTTTCACTTGTATTACAACTCTAGCTTAGTAATATGGAGGAAAATATTTTGTCTTGGATATTATAGCACCTTTTAGTTTGTAAGTCTTTCTGTTTAAAAAAAATCTGAATTTTAGATGTTTTAAAAATTGCATATGGACTAATTTAGTTGAAGCTTATGGATGTAGGATAAACGAGTTTTAAGATTTCTTTAGGAAATGCATCTATGGCCCCTGGAAAAAGTCTTGCATGTAGGATTTCCTCACAAGTTGTTCATAAAATATAAAATTAAGTCTTAGGAATTGCAATGTATGAATTAAGTTTAATTAGAGCATAATGTGTTAAGGTAAACTATATTTTTAGAAATAAAATAACATGTAAAGTAGTGTCATGGACATTAGTATTTTCACTTAATCTTTGAATTGAGTAAATTTAAAGTGCAGTTTGCTTTTTTACTCCTGATGGATCATGTTTTGTCGGGTATTGGAAGGCTAAAAATATCACATAAGATTATCTTAGTGACTATGAAACTATGCATGTAAAATTTAAATGTTTTATATTTTGCAGTCAGTGTCTGAGACAACAGAGGATGGATCAAATGAAATACCTGTTGTTAAAAGGGTTACTAGGAGCAGACCACCGAAAAAGGTTAACATAATTTCTTTAGCGTTACTGCTTGTTTGTTGAACGTAGCTTGTTAAGTACATATTAAGTAGAAAACTTGTGTCAGTACCATAAATTGAGATAGTGTTTTAAGAAAAAAAAAAGACAGAGAAAATTATAAGTCATGTCATTATATGCATTTTCTTTTTTTTTTTTTAGATTAAAAATATATTAATTAGATTGACCTTTTACTTTAAAGTTAACAACAGTGTTTGCCTCTGAAAACCACTAGGTTATTTTGTTACTTTTTAGGTTTTTATCAGGTGTTATGATAAAATACCTGATAAGCTTTAAAAATATTTGTCTGTCATTATCACTAATTATACTTAACGTGTTTTTGTTTACTTGTTGATGGCTAAGGTACTTGCAGAAATAAGTAAACTGATAAAAAAAATCATTAAAAATAGTAAAATTACAAAAATATCTTCCAATAAGTCTGAATAACTTGGGACAGAGAATTACTCATCTTGTGTAAAAGTTGAAATACTTGTTGGCTAATTTTAACAAAACCTTGTAAACTTGCAGCCTGGCTTTAGCTGTAGAACATAAATTGCTATTGTACATAACATGCTAGTTGACATTTTTTTACCGTATACTGAATATACCAAGTTTTTGTCTTAAAATTAAACATGACGTACTTAAGCTTGTCTGTTAATAAGCTTTACACACAAAATATTTCCTCACTAGATGGCAACAGAAGAACCTACCAGCCCACTTTTGTTACAAACCACTAAAAGACCAAGAGGCAGACCTCCAAAAGACCTCATGGTTTGTGCAATACTTAAATTATGTTTATTGCATTAACAATTCAGGAAACCTTTTTATGTATACACAGAGAACATTGCATTACAGTAATTTCTGTGATTTGTTGAGGCTTCCAAACAAAGGTTTCTCCATTATAAGATAGTACTGATGTTCATTGTGTGCTGTTATTGGTTATCTATGGTTGTGTATTAAGAAAGGTAAATGTTGTGTTGTTCAATACGAGTTGTTCTATTTTTAACAAGTGTTTGTTGTGGAAAGGTCAGCAGCCTCATTATATGTACTTAGATTAGTCAAAGTGAATTAAATACTCAAAAATTAAGGATCGCATTAGTGTGCTTGAACACCTTTTACTTAAAATCTGCCTTAGAAACATGAATCTTAATCATTGGGAAGTAGAGATAGCATCTTAGTGTTTATGATCATGCTTATACAAAAATAAATATTTTCAAGTCTCATCAAATATATTATTTATAAAAATGTCTCTTTTTGAACTGCAAACTTGAAACACAAAATCTTGTATTAATTGTTTAATGCTCTTGATACATGTCACTACATTTTACAGTTACATTCAAAATTTAATTAAATTACTTTATTATCAATTTATGCAAATAAACTTGGCATCAAAACATAGTTAATAAATGAAATTTTTAATATTATATAAGTTTTAATTTCTTAAATTTAAAAGGAAATATTTAAATATTCTCAATCTCCTCTTTTAATCAAATCGTTACATTTATTCCCTAGGTCTTGCCCATTCTATAATTTATTTACCACCTCTCTCTGAAGTATAGAGTTAAATGTAAATTACTCATTATAAGGTAGATATTATTAAGGCAGTGTCTAATTTTTAAAGCCTTCGATCTTGTTTGTGTATGGAGACATAAACTAGAAATTCAGACCAACCTGCCATGCTCACCTGTCACACACACTCTCTTTCACAAGTTTTCAGTAATTTTCTGTGATGTTTCATTTTATTTAATTTATAACTAATAGAAAGATAAAGTTTTAATATATTAAGTAATGTTACGTTAAATTATAATAGTTATAGGACTTTTGCTTTGCTCAACATATTATTCTGTGTTCTTAGGGTCATTATTTAAATAAACAAAAATTTGGTATACAAGTACCATTGTAATAAAACAAAGTAGGCCTAAAAAACAAGAAGTAAAAAGTAAGTACTATATTTCATGTGTTTGTTTATATTTTTATTTATTGTTGCATAAGTAAGTAAAATGTAAAATTAGAAACTTATTACGTTAGATTATGTAAGATAATAATAATTCTCCACAAGGTGTGCTCGTGGGTGGTTCATGCATTATGTCATTCAGTACGGTAACTTGAGCTGTGTGTTTCCCTAATGAATTACAACTTATATGGCTGGGTTATTAGTTAGATATGGTTCAAAGGGCAATAAGTCCCTCAGTGGCAGAGCAGTATGTCTATGGACTTACAGCCCTAGAAACCGGGTTTCGATACCTGTGGTGGGCAGAGCACAGACAGCCCAATATGTAGCTTTGTGCTTAATTACACACAATGAACCAACAAAAGGCAAGGAAACAATAAAACAGATATAAACTCTTACAGCCTTAAGCTGTTTAGAATACACAAATGTAGTTTCCTGTTACAACTTGCAGTCATTCTAGAAAGAAAAAAAGGGTAAAAGCCAAGAAAAAATAGCTGAAAAAAAAAACAAATGAAATGGTTACATAAATGAAAATTTGAAGATTTTCATATTAAAAATATTTTTAATATTACAATAGGAATCACTTTGCATTCAGAGCAGTCAATACATTGGCTTCATACGTTAATGAACAAATCTTTAGTAAAAATACTTAATTACAAAAATGTACAGATGACTTGTAATGTTTGCAGACAGCTTGCCAAATTTCGTGAAGATACAAAGTTAAGAGTATGGAAACTCTGATGGTTAGTTTGGAGTTAAAAAGTCTGTGTAATTCACCGACTCTGTATGGAAAGAGTTAATGGAATGCAGTATAATGTACAAAATATTAGTATTTTTTAACATAAAAATACAGTTCATTTACATATAACTAAAAATTCAAAAGATGTAGTTAGAGCTTGTAGAGGACTCGCTGAAACTATGGACATTTTATAAGGAAAGATTTCAGGAAATAGAAAATAAAGGAAAGAAATTGTGTGTGAAACTTTAACTCTCTGAACACGGGCTCAGTCAGTTTGACTGACCACATGACCTCTTTGTACTCGTTTAAAGCCTTTATAGATTTAATACTTCTAACATCCAATATAGGGTGTATGGCTTTCACATACAAAAAAATCATATTTCTTAGTGAAGTATTTTTAATAGACTAAAATAAAGATTTGTCCATGAATATATTGAGTATTTGTTTTGAATAGTCTGTGTACCAAGTGATTTTCAAGTTAAGAATAAAAATACTTCATTTCAAAAATATAAAATTTCCTTTGTGTAATCCCTAAAATCCCCTAAATACATTTCAAATGTTTGTTCCAGTAAAACTTTATATTTTATCTGTTATTTTCTCTACCCTATCTCTAAACAGGATTGGTCAATTTGATTGACCTTGTGACCACCAAAAAAAAATCGAAATAAATCTAAATTACCCTCTTTTTCTTTCTAGAATGACTTCAAATTGTAACAAGAAGCTTTAAGCTAACAGTATGCATCTATTTATAATTAAATTTTATTGTTTAATTGCTCTTTGAACTGTGTCTAACTACTATCCGTGCCATTATAGGTTGTAAATCACTCTGAGAACATGCAGCTCATGTTACGCTATCGAATTACATTACCCACGAGCTACTATGAACTGCTTGCATGCTTGCCTCATGAAATAATTTTTATTATATTATTATTTATTTTACCTAATCTAATCTTAACTAACCTAAAGAGATCCCTATTTTTACATTTTAGTTACTTTTATAAATATAAAAATATAATAAACAAGAAAAACAAATGTAGTACTTACCCAATCTTTTTTCTTGCTGTTGATTGTTGGTGAAACTTAACCCTAGATTTTTATACTAATGGTAGTAATGCACAAAATAATTTTTATTTAATTAAATAATGCACCAAAGAACATAGACTAAGAACATGCAAAAAGTAGACAATTTCCCCTGACTCTTAAAGTGTGTCTGGCTTTCTAACTATGAGACAAGAGCCATTACAAAGCTAGTTGTTAACTTTCCCAATGGAACGATGCTTGTACTCTGAGTGAAATTCATCCTTATCTTTTTAGAACACAATGTTATACAATATGTCATTTGATAGATTAATACCTTGACTTTCTATCGGTTGTAGATAATACATAATTTAACGTAAGAGAGAACTATTAACAAATCCTTAAAGAGGGGATGTGACAGGTAGGTAGGTGTGGCAGGAGGGGTGTTATTTTCTATTTCATAGCTCTGTAACCAAACAAAATTGAAGGCTATAAAAATTATGGTTTGTCTGAGCAATGACGATATTATAGGGACCAATTTACGTTTAATTTCATACATTTTCAAGGAGTGGTGGATAAAATAGAGAAGAGAAGATGTCTAGAGAAAGTGTGTTATGTGTGTAACACTAGGGGAAGTTCAGGATTTTTTACAAATATTTTGTTATAGAATTAAAAACTTAAAACTTATATACTATTAAAATATGGATTATTAGCTAAGCATTTATGCCATATTAATTGGTGTAACACGAACAAAAATGAATTTTATAAAATTTTGAATGTAAGACACTAAAACCTTATGTCATGTGCAGTAATGGATGGCCTTCATGAAAGTGTTAAGGAGAGAATTTTTTTTATCTGTTTTACTTGTTTCCAGGTGTGTCTGTACCGGTTTCTCTGCTATTCTCTTGTTTGTTTCATATGAAGTAGAAAATTGTTTGTTTTTTTGGCCTGTATAATGTTGAAATATACTTTCCTTTGATAAGGTGGGTGACAGTTGTTTATTTAAAAAGACAATATTTAAAAACAAATTTATAGACTTATGGTTATGACCATGTGAACTTAGGGTTACTTTTATCTATAATAATAATTATTTGTGTTTGAAGTTGATATTATTTTTATGTAGCTTGATTCAAAACATGAAGACTTTGAATGTCAACTTTGTCATAAGGTTTTCCCCAGAAATTACAGCTTACAACGACATATGATCATGCATACGGGTGAAAAACGTTTCAAATGTCCAATTTGTGAAATGAAGTTCAGCCATGTGTACAATAGAAACAGGTTAGTGTAATAATTTATTATATACTTTATATAATTTGATACGGTGGTGGTAAATCAGCCTTTTATTTGCCTGATCATACTCATAGTAAGAAGTTTTTAGGTGAATATTGACAGGGACAGCTTGGTAGAGCTCAGACCTTGTTAGCTAGAGGAACTGGATTAATGTTGCAGTCCTAGAGTCTAATCACAAGGAAACTGTTCTAAGTCTGTGTGTTTAGAAAATATACCTGGACAGTTCTGAACTGGGATTTCAAAGTATTAGTATGAGTACATCACTGTACCTGCAGATTAAAAATTTTATTATAATATGTAAGTAATCTATTTTAATATGTTTTGTGCCAGAAAACAGTATAAAGATATTATAACATCATATAATGGTTATGTAGTTAATTAAGAAAAAAAAAGTAAACTCGTTTTTGTAGTGTCTGAAGTGTATGCAGTATACTTTTTTAGGTGACAAATGGGCCTGCATCTTAGCTTTGAAAATTAGATATGTTCTTTGGTTAAAAACCTGTTGTACAGAGGAGAAGCTTAGTTTCAAAATGTTGTGAACAATTTTCCAGACATTCCTAATGGCATTTTTCTCTACTTACAAGTTTTGGAGCGGTAGTAGTCTTGTAGTACTACACTTGAACATATTTTTAGAAATACTTTCAAAGTAATTATTTGTGAGGATGTAATTATTTTTCTTGTTGCTGTTACTGGATTTGTTATATTCTTTTCAGTTGAAAGCTACAGAAATGTTTAGGTTTAGTAAGTACACAGGCCTCAATATCTGTAGTTTGAGTTCCTGATTTGTACGAAACTATAGACTTTGTATTTTGACATCACAAACATCTAATTTGAACCAGTGCTGCATTCAGCATACCACGTGACATACAAACATCGATGTTTAGCTGTGTTTTTTTTCTTTCTTTTTTTTACTTTTAAATTAAGGAAATTAACTAACTTATAATACTAAAATTGGAATTATAATCTACAATTTGATACCAAATGTATTAACATAAATTATAAGTATATGTATATTTAGCAGATTACGAAACTGCTTCAGTTGGTGACAAAGTCATACCAAACGAATATAGCAAAGCAAAATATGGTACTAAGTATAGAATGGATAGAATATATTAAATGAAACTTTCTGAACAATCTTTCATATATACGATCTCCAATTTTCCTTATTTTGGACTGTTTTGAACAATTTTATATTTGGCTATGTTGCTGATACATATAAGTTGCATATAATGTTTTTAAAATAAAAAAATGACATAAATTCATTCAATAATATTAGTTTGTGATCTCAAAAACTGCATGTTGAATTGATTCAAGTAGGCTTTACTGGCACTGAAAGGGTTAAAGACAATCTTCTTTTTTGTTGTTGTTGTTGTTCTTAGTAACCATTTGTTACACACCCTAATCATACACTAAATGGATTGACTCAAGTAGGCTTACATTAAATTTGTTACATTTATAGATAATATAGACTTTTGTACTTATAAAAAAAAAATAACGTATAGTCTAAGACCCTGTAAGTGTTTGTAGCTTCATGTACTTTTTCCCCTAATAATCAAAATACTCGTGAAGTTTGAATGCTTTGAGAAAATAAAACAATGCTATAAAGAATATATTGTAAAGTTTTCTGTAATCATGTTTAAATTATGTTTTTGATGATTAATTTAATTGCTTCATGTATTAATCTTTTTACAGTTAATATCATTGAATGATGAATAAGATAGTAGTAAGTATTAACATTTATTTAGTACAGTGAAAGCCCATTTGCTGAAGAATGAACATTTAATTGCATATTTTAATGTGCATAAAAAAAAGGTAAGTAGGAGAAAACACCCATTTTTAATGCCTTCAGACTAATAAAGATCATGTGAAGAAATTATACTGTGTGTATATATATTTAATAATTTTCTTTATGCATGAACTTTATGAACTGCTTACAGTTTTAGCATTTTTATGTAAACTGTCATTGCAATAACATATCGTAAGTAGATATTTAGTGTTTTCAAAGACCAGATGTTGCACATCTATTTATTATGTTTTGTTTGGTGAAATAGTTGCAGTGTATCAAATCAGTTTTATGAGAGTGAGTTCTTAAATGTGTTAGCTTTTGCAAGAAGTAAATCTGTACTTCATTTTCTTTACTAGGCATGTTCGGAGGCACCGACAGCGGGGAGAAAACGAAGCTACACCTCGTACACTCAGGTCTTTCTCAAAAAGAAGAGAGAACAGAATGTGGGCCTGCTCAAATTGCCCTCTAGTGTTTGACAACTCTAGCATTCTAAACCTCCATTCTGAGATTCATGAAACAGCAGATAATAAACAGGAAAAAACCTCTTTGTGTGAAGAACAACAAACCCCAGATTCGAAAGAAGTTCCAGAAACTGGCGATGAAAGTAACATTATTTCAGAAAATGGAGTTTGTAGGTGTCCCAAGTGTAAAAAGGTAATCTTGTGCATTTAATTTATTGTAATCTATTTCTCATTCATTTATGTATTTGTATATCTGTTAGTGATTCTGTTTCTTTGAATGGCTGTTTACCTATTATAATTTTCTAGGTCTAATTATAAGGGAGTAAGTGAAATTTTATTTTTTTATAGGGAAATGAGGTTTTAAAATATTGTATGGTGATAGAAATTATATTTTTTATCAAAAATGAAAAAAAAAGTTTTTATAGTAAGTAACGATAGTTATTGTGGAATGTACTTGTGTTAACTCTTAAGTTTACGGAGTGTACCCAAGTAGTATCTCGCATAACCAACAAAACAACTTAAGTATAAAAAAATACTTTTTTCCAACTTATAGTTTTCAAATTTCATTTGAATAACCCATAGAACCTCCTAAGCAAATATCAAAAGTTTCTTTAATTTAAGGTAAAAGTGTGTTGTTGTTGTCATCAACTTGTACTATATAGTGTATCGTATAGTATAATGAGATGTTTAAAATTAAGGCATTGTAAAATGTACATACCTTTTAATATTTTGTCAAATAATCTTAAAACACCTTCTTTTGGTTATATTTTTAATTGCATGTCTTTACATTTTTACATAAAGTTTATTTTAATGTTCTATTTTCCTTTCCTGTCCTTTAGCATTGTTATTTATCACAACACTCATTAATGGGCACGTTATGGTATAGTTGGCAGAGAAACTTTATTTAGCCTTTGGCAGAACTAGGGGACAATCTCGTATCACACTAACCCTTGTTAACCAAGGAGGCTTTGGCTTATATAAAAACAAAATTATTGAACCTTTAAATAGGCATCTTAAAACATAAATAACACGTAATTAAGTAAAATATAAAACTAAAACCTAAATACAATGCAACTGTCTATTTAATTAATGTATTTCTAGGTGAGAAACAACACGAAAGTGGTGAGGACAAAAGCAGCAACAATGCTAAGAGTGATTTGACTAGTTCTATAGAATACTTCATGCCAGTTTTAAAATACCTGTTAGGAGAACATATTTCAAAAAGTGCACTTTGCATCTAGCTCAACTAAGTGTAATTGGCTGAGAAATTGCAACTATGTGCATAGAAAGTGGGTGTGGCATTTGTCAAGAGTTCAGAGGAATTTATTTCTCCTTTCTCTTAATATACTCTAATGGGCTTAAAAACAGAATGTGTAAACAGGGTAATTAACATTCATTATTTCTGTATATAGAAGGTTAGCATACGTCAAGAAGTTTTCAAGCTACAAAGACACAAGTTTAAGGTTTTGTTAACTTGTCAATTACTTAAGAATAAAACTATACTTTAAGAATTTTTCTTTAAGGTTTCTTTTGAAATAAAGGAATTAAAACTTAGATAATATACAACTTTGAACTATAATGTAAATTTTAATGCTGATTTCATTGGCAAACATTGATCATAACATATGAAGTACTTAGAATATTTTTGTCTGTTAAACTACAGACAGAGACCTTGATTTGTTTGGGTTTCCATGGTTGGCACAGGAGAGAGACAGATGATGCCTTTTGGAGGGATAATATTAGAACCATTGGAAAGCTGATACAGTTGTGATGAAATTGAGATTCTTTATCTGGGTGTTATTTATGTCACCTGAGATTTGTGGAAATGCTCTATTTTTTGGTTTTTAGATATTTTCAAGTATAAAAACAAAATTTAGAAATGATGCCACCTCACATAAAATCACTGAAGTTAGACAGATGCAATCCTCATTGGCAGAAAATTGATTAAATTTTAGTTTTTATGATAATTTCTTTGAGCATCATTTATTTCTCAATACACTAGCAACATTATGGTTCCAACGAAACTTATTGTAATGCAGTTTGGTGATTGACGGAATTTGTGGCAAAGAATTTACTTCTTTGATTTGACTGTTAACAATTTAATTATTTTATTTTTTAGTACTGAACAAATTTTTTATGTTTGGCCATTAATATTTGATTTATTTTTCTTTCTTCATAGCCTTTTACTGGCAAGAGAGCGTTAAGTGAACACGTTGCCGTTCATGGAAAAACCTATTCTAAAGGGATCTCGGTGAAAGGCCTTATTAACCCCCAGAAACCATACAAGTGTAACCTTTGTTACAAATCTTTTGCCACTGATGAAAGACTAATACGTCACTACTTGGTTCATGGAAGTGATGATTCAAAACCTCTACAATGTGATGTCTGTTTGAAGAGGTTCTTAAACAACTCTGCTTTAGCATGTCATATTAAGGTCCATAAGTAAGTTGTTCTTTTTCTGTTGCTCACATTATCAGAAATATTGAAGAACGATAAATAAGGATTTGCAAGACACACATATGTGACTTGTAGAACCAAAAAGTCATAGATGCTAAACAAGCAGCAGTTTTTTAACAGCTCCTTCTTTATTTCAGTATAGCAATGTTTCTTCATGCTTACTTTTTTTTCCTGCAGCTGAAAACCTTTTTTGATGTGCTAGTCATAAATTATTAAAAATGGAAAATGGTCAGTTTATTTAATGTTAAAGAGACTGTATAACTAGACTAGCTGGTAATGTTTGAGAATCTAGTTCCTATGATCCTTTATTTCTTACATTACTTTTGAAATATTTTTATTATTAACATTTGTAATGTTTTAGCATTGTGGGATGTTATGTCCATTTTACAGCGAAGACAGAAAGACCTATGAATGTCCAATCTGCAAACAGAATTTTGAACAAATGATTGGATTAAAAGAACATGTCCATGGACACAGTGAGAATGGTTTGTTCACTTGTCCACATTGTCAGAAGGTAAGAATACCTTTGGTTATTGATGTCATTGCAGAATGAAGATGTATCATTAATTAATTGTCTATGATATGAATACGAAACTCCTCGCTTGTGTACTAGAAAGTGGTCCTTGTATACTTTCAGATCAAAAGTATTGTGCAAGCTGCAAGAAATAATTATATATCTTTTTACTTATTAAATAACCTCACTTATTTTCTGTCATGATATAACTTGCTCAATTATTTATTAAATAATGTTAAATATTGTTATTACTATATAATTTAACATTGTTTATTACAGTCTTCTATTATAATATATTCTTACTTAATATCTGTTGTGATTTTTTATCTGGTTTTTTGTTTTATGAAGCAGAATTTAGTATTAAACTATTAGATCCCTTAAATGGCATTCTTAACTAAGTTTATCCATTTTTATGAAGCAATTAGTTTATTGCACATAATACAATAGTTATTCACTAGTGAGTTTATTATCCCACCATTTTGAAGCATCAAAGACTGGTACATACTGGTTTATTGTGTTCCTTCATCCCATTCTTGTTGACAGGATATTTCCAGATTAGAATGATGTATTTTTACCAAACTTATTGAAACAGGAACTGCATACAAAACCCTAGACCTGATTAACTTTTGAAAGTGAAATGATCGTTGATACACAGAAAATCTTCCTCATCATTGTAGACATGATATTTCAATACAAGATGAATGGATATTTACCAAACTTACACAACAGATACCACATACAAAATTGTAGACCTGATTAACTTTTGAAGGTCATGAGTCAAGGTCGCTGGTACGTAGAAAATTCACCCTAATCTTATGGATAGGTACTACATCATCAAGGGGATGGGGGATTTAAACACAGTATAACATTAATGAGGGCAGAGATGTTTTATAAGCACAATTTTAACATGTTTCTTTTGTTCTAATGTCAAAGTAATAAATACTCCAAGAGATGTTGTGTGAAAGCTAACTTTATAATGAACTTTGAAAAAAAAAAACTTTTGGTTAGAAACTTGCATTTCATTATAATTTGATTGCCTTTATAACCACCATGTAACCATGAAATCATACATACTATAACTTTGAATGTGCAAAATGTATCTTCATGAAATTTGGCAAGCTTTTAGTAAACGTTACAAGTATGTTGTACACATAAAATCAGAATTTTTGCCTGTGAATTTACAAAGCATTTACTGAGTCAGTCTGTGTGGAAGGTAATTTTTATGCTAAGAATAAAAATATTTCTTTTTGCTTTATAGTTTTCATATTTCACTTGCACTAGAATTTCCTAAATGAATATCAGAAGTTTTACTTTGCCCAAACTATTTCTTATTTTCTCTACCCTAACACTAATTGTGTTGGAAGCATTAATATACAGTAAATGAAAAGTTGAAAAATATGAAATAAAATCAAAAATACAATTTTACTTTTTTTAGAATTACTACATATTGTAATAAACAATTACCAATAATTATTTCTAGAATTAGAAAGCAATAAATCACCCATTCAGAGTCTAGGGTAAACAATCTATCATGTTAAGTCATGAGACAGTAGCACACATGCAATCCTCTAAGAAAGGGATTCTCAACTTTTCCTCCATCATTAACCCCCTCGGCTTGATGTATTTCTCCATTTACCCCCTTACTTCCATACAAAAAATTCATAGACATCATAAAGGGACAGAAAAACAAGGTCAGAAAAAAAAATATTATTCAGGTTTTGCACAAAAATAGCACGCACACACACACACACACATTTTACAAAATGAAATTTAATTGAATTATTATTCAATCATCGGGTACATCAATTATTTACCCCCTGGCTGAGAATCACTGCTCTAAGAGATCACAATAATTGTTTTTGCAGAGGTGGAAGTTTTTTGTCTGCAGCCAATTTTCTGTCATAGGTATTTTGGGGGAACTGTGAAAAATTAAAAAGGATGTTTTTGGTATTACTATATGTATAAACCATATAAAACAGTTTTTGTGGTTTCATAAGGTGTCACTGTGTGCTAAATGTAATTTCTGTTAATTCTTATTTATCACTCTTTTTTTTTATCCCTATCATCATTGAGTGGCAATATGATACGTCTCATCATGCTAATTTTCTTGAAACCTGAAGATCGCATAGCTGTCCTTGATAAATCTGTAAAAAATAAATTTTGTGCCGGTGGTGTGAAGAAAGATATTTTTTAACTAGATCATATGTACAGTTATTGTATAAAACAGACATTCCCAGACAATATTTTTGTATTCTTTGTAACTGTTGTTTGAATTATAGAAGCAATAGCAAAAAGGTTTTTCATAATCACCATAAAAAAGGCAAATGTCATGCCAAATTATTCTCAGCCCATTTAAGTAACCCAACCCTCCTATTTGCCAAAAGAAATAGCAAAACAAGAAATAGAAAAGAAAATTCAAACAGCCGCTTCGGAAGCAATATTGGAAGCAAGGCTGTTGTGATTAATCCATTGCTGAAGTCCAGAAAAGTATTGACAGAAACATGCAAGAAAAAAGTACAAAGTATCTCCACAAAGGAGTCCACTGTTTGTTTTTTTTTAAATACCACTGCAAGATGCACAAATGAGAAGCCTGGATTATCAATTAGTTCAGCAGCCAAGGGTAATTTCAATTATGAATTGAATTAAGACTGTCAAGTATGGTTACAAAAGAGAGGATTCCATTCAGCCCATCTTGCTTATTTAATTATTGATCCAATAATTTCATTATGCTGTTTCGTGAAGGATCCCAGAGACTAAGTTTCAACAACATGGCTGGATAGTTTGTTATAGACACTCATGACTTTTTGTAAATATGTATTTTCTATTATTGATCCTAAGTGTATGTGCATGGTACTTTCCAAATGGTCACAATAGGAACGTTTTAGTTTTGATTTTAAAGCAACAGGAGTAGAAGAATCTTTCATATGGCCATGTTTTTTGTTTGGGGAATTTTTTTGAATTTATGTTAGCACTTTTTTGTACAATTAAAAAATTTTTTTTCCAGTTTTTGTGCATAGTGTATGTTTGTTTTGTATTTGTTGAAATATAAACTGCTAAAATGTTTTACTTGCTCAGCTTGGCAGCTTACATTTTCCATCTTGTTTATGTTCCCACCACTGCTTTTGTTATCTAATCTAACAACTTTCTAATTTTAACATTTTAGTTAATGTTGTTAAAAGTATATAACAATAAATAACAATACACATAAAAGAAAAAAATAAATTTAGCACTGTAGTCTTGTGACCTTTTACACTTGATTGAGTGATTTTGCAAGTCTTGTTTTTTTTCAGTATATAAGTTGTTTTAAAATAATTTGTGTAGCTTTCAAATATGCATTTTAGAACATACACACAAAAAATATTCGACACTAGAATAGATTAGAATGTCCCGAAACTACTATTTATCTGGCTTTCTAACTAACCTATAAATTGGTTAAAAACATTCTGTTACTGATTGGAGCTATGTCTTTAGTTGAAACACATCAAGCTTTCCTTGCTGGTTCATCATATACAGAGATATGTCAGTAAATTAAGAAGATAAGAGGTTGAAATATTATATTCTGGGTTGTCAGTATCTATAATACACATTTCAGATTGTTTGAACAATCTGAAGCCTTTACAACGGGTGAAAAGAATCTCTAAATGAGAACTTGGATTGTCACCATGCAGATTGAGAATGTATTTAAATATTTCCTTTTGAAATTAGAAAATTAAAATATAGATAATATAAAAATTTGAATTATAAACTATGTTCTGATGCTAAGTTTATTAACATATATTGATAAAAACATGTAGTTTAATTAAATTTTGAAAGTAACTGTAAAGGTTATGATGTGCACTTTGACCCTCCTGTATCAATAGAGTTAATTTTAAATATTAATTAGGAGAAAAGCTGCCCTTTAATACAAATATGTTTGCTGTGTTTGAAAAATACAATTCATTGTGCACAACATATAATACTCAGTTTTGAAGAAAACAATGGTTTTTCTTTTTTATCAGCTCAGCCTGACATTTCTGTCATTTTTCTTCTGAGTGAAACTAAGAGTTAGTGTTGTTATAAAATTTTGGTTGGCCTTTGACTAAGTTTAATAACTGAGTTTATTTGATGGGTCAAAAATACAAGTGTGGGCTTTCTATAGGAATGATAATTATTTCCACTAGTTCTATTGTCATCCAACTAATTTGTTCATATCTGGTGAGGAAAAGTTGGAAGGGGGGGGGTATGGGTGAGGTGGTGTGGCTGGACACCAAATACAAGTATTAGCAAGCTCAATCTAAGATTGTCTTGTATATGCCAAACCAAAATCAAAATTTTTACATGTGTTGCCTCAGTAATGAAATGACCACTTGGAACAATTCGTCTACTCATTGCACTTTACTTAGTATCTGTCTAAATATTTGATGAAATGACCAGGTTGTGAGTTAACTAGTCTGTTATTTTGATTATTGGAATATTGAGTTAAAAGGGGAAAACTTGGTCAAAGTCCAATGTGTTCTAATCCTGCTATTAATAAATAATTTGAATATTAGTGTCCCAAAAAGGCCTAGAATGCACCAGAAATCACATCAGTTAGACCCACAGCCTTTATGGGCAGGGACCAGAACTAACTAAAAGTTTCATTTCATGTTCTTGTCCCTGTTTTTAGGTTTTCCTCCATTTTGTGAAAAGATTGTATTACAGAATTCAGAAAGAATACTAAGTAGGAAAAATTATTAGAAAGGCAATTCGGTATCCATTTGTACATTGGATATAGTAATTATGAAGTCATTTATTATTATATAATCCTATTAATCATACATATTTTGATAAACAGGAAAGTTCTACCAAATATTAAAACTTTCTGTGAGAAGTTTCACTTCTTTAAATTAAGGAAGGAATGTCCTGTTACTCTTCAGAAATACAAATGAAGAAACAAATGTTTTGAGTTTGTGATGACCTCATTATTGATAACTGACAAAAAAAGAATCATACTTTAACAAAAAACTTCTGAGATCTTCAGTTGTTAAAAGTCTTCTTTACTTCCTGTTAAATTCTTTTGTTCTTCTTTGTAAAAATTACTTTTATTCACTTTCCCAGAAAATTACTTTTCACACCATTTTATTCACTCTATCTTAACTAAATAGTTAATAACCTGCACTATCTAATAGTACTTAAACTTTGGCTGTAGCTATTTTCAAAGCTGAACTTTGTTAGTAATTGTTCAGACCACATGCTGACACACATGTGTAGGAACAAAGGTCTATAATATCATCTCCGAAAAGGAAAATCATGAGAGAAACAAGACTTTGCTAATTGTATTCTCATATCAAATAAAAATGTATGCTTTGTTCTTGAGTTTAAAAATGTTGAAATAAAGTTAGAATTGTAGTTTTTACAAATTTTTAAATTTTGTTAGTAGTTGTGTATTCGATGCCTAAAAGGTACTCCGTGATTTGGAAACTGTCAATGATTATCAATGAAGTTGTAACTGACTTGATCAACTTCCTGATCAACAGTAAAAGAAAACAATTATGAGAAGAAGAGTAGTATTACTATTTCTGTTTTATTTTTCAAAATTTTGGAAATTTCACTTGCTAAAAGATGGTAGAAATACTAAATCAAATTATATGAATTTTATTAAGCCAAAATTAGATATTGTTTTACTAAGCTTATACCAAGTTTCATGCAATTCAGTTAAATATTTCCACCATGAGAAGGAAAAAATATAGGGATGTTTAGTGATACTCTTCTTGTCCATGAAAGGGATTATAGTTAAACTGTTCTAAGAAATTTTATGAAAAGGAAAATAAGAATGTTTCTACATAATATAAAAATCTTGTGAATATCTAATGCTAAATTAACATAATCAGCATTAAACTTTTTCTCCCGTTTGATTGTTAAATTTATAATTTCACTGTATTGTTTTATAGTATGTTCAATTTGTGCTATATATTTTGAAATAGTAACATGTATCTATTACTACCTGGTTGCAGAGATGTGAAGAATATAACCAGATACGAAAACACATTCGAGCTTTTCATTCAGAGAGACGCTATCCTTGTGATAAATGTGATAAGGTTTTCCCCCGACCAGATAAGCTAAAGTTGCACATGTTGCGACACTCAAATCATCGAGAGTTTCTCTGTGCAGACTGTGGGAAACAATTTAAACGAAAAGACAAGCTGAAAGAGCACATGAAGAGGATGCACGGCCCTGATAGAGATGCTCGTGCCAACAGTCGAGCCCTAAAAGCAAGATCCACTAAAAAATTCGTTCCTAAGGTAAAAACGTCTATTTTTGGTTTCATCCAATTAAAGAATGTATTAGTTATAGTTTCCCTAGAAGTATAACAAAATTTACAAAAAAAGATTGATCCATAATGCTGTAGAGATGTAAGTTAAGAAAACAAATAAACTTTTGTTTACATATTTTTTTTTCGTGGTTAAAGTTTTAGTTCATCAAAAGTTGTCTTCTTCTTCTAGAACTGATTATTGCCCAGGAAAATGATATTGTAATATAAGTTTTTTGTATTGTAATACGTATTGGGAGCTTTCTTGTTATTTTGCTCACATATCAACAGAACTATCTTTTAACACCCTTTTTCAGTCTAAAATGCTTCCAAACACTTCACTTTTGGCCTTTTTTCTGCCATTTTGTACGGGATGCAACGCTCATGAAATAACATTTTATATTCTCAGAATCATAAATATTTAATAGGAATTCAACTTTTACATGAGACTAGCTAAAAAAGTAGGCTATTTTAAAATATATTTCAAACTTCCTTTGTCATGCCAATGAGAATATAGGCAGTATCATTTCCACCAGAAGTACATTTCTCTTACAATGACTATTACAAATAATTTACTAATTTACATTAAAGAATTTAAAGGTAGGTCTTCAAAACTGTTGTTATAAAATTTACTGAATAATAACTTCATTTTTTTCATTCATAAAAAACAAGGAAAAATTTAAACAGAGTTTCATATCATGACGTATCAAACTGGCAAACAGTTGTGTAATTACCAGTGCATCAGTTTATTGTTACCATTCTGTCTTCTTCATTAAGTTTGTTCATTTCTTGAAATATCAAGGGGATATAAGTTTAATTTTTATAAATGTATGTTACTGCAGAACAAATTGTATCAGTATATTGATCATAATTGTTACAAGCTTATTTTTTAAGTGCATCTGTTTAATTAAGTTTCAAGCTGACTAGTAATATATTTAGTATCTATATCCACTTTGATTTTTCCACAGAATTAATAAAATACTTATTTGACATACATTAATTTTTAAAAATGTCTAAATGTTTTTAACTATCCAAATTTTTTCAGGTAAAATATACATGTACTCGAAGTACTCAGATGCAACCCAGTATTATGAAACACTGTATTATGGATCACCTTAATCTTAACCTGCCCATTATGGTATTCTTGTATAGAAAAAGTTGAGAATAAAGGGTTTAAAAATAAGCTTCACTCTCTGAAGTACATTTCATTAATGAAATCAGTATTTACACACATTTATTCCAGCTTAAAATGTTTAGATTTTGTATAGTTGTTGGTATTTGACTTTAAAAGTAAGGACATTTGTTTAATTACATTTCTACATGTATATTAAAATACTCTTGAAAATCCTCAATCATCACACTGTTTAGATTCAGATTGTGTTTGTACTGTAGGTGTGAAAAACCTGCCTGTTCAATAATTATATGCACTTACACAGTAATATAACTTTTCTTATCAACTACATAACTTCTTTACATATAGTAACTTTCAGATATGTAAAGATAACAGTATGTGTCCTTAAACTCGTATGCCTTGTATTTTACCATTTATGGTATAAATTATTGTGTTCTCCTTTGTTTCTGCTCAAGGTGTCTCCAACTGATTACCACCGTTTTATTTATAAATGTCACTCATGTTTGTTGGGTTTCAAGCGGCGAGGGATGCTGGTAAACCATCTGGCTAGACGGCATCCAGATATCAGGCCAGATTCTGTTCCTGAACTAAACCTTCCAATTCTGAAAACAACTAGAGATTACTACTGTCAATACTGTGATAAAATATACAAATCCAGCTCCAAGAGAAAAGCTCATATTTTAAAAAATCATCCAGGTGCTCAGTTACCCATGAGTAATAGACAAAAGGTTAGTCAGATTGAGTAAACCTACAGGTAATCTTTATATTTACGGTATTGTTGAAAACATTTGGAATTTGTCTAATTTTTTTTCATGTATGTTCAAAATTATATTGAAAATGAGTGTCACATTGCTGTTGCAATGGGATAAGTGTCAAATATTATAAGCACATTGATTATTGACTAATATTCCTGCATAGAAAACCGGATTCTTAATAATCAAGCTTATCTTTCACAACAAAAAGCAATACACTTATAAAAAAGAGATGCTCTGCTAGCAGTCAATTCTAATAAACAATATTAAGAGCATTATTTTACTGAATTATAATGTAAAGTATACTCACTAGAAATGATGAATGTAGGCTAAATTTGGTATCTACCTATTACCTTATGTGGACCTATAACCAAAACTAGTCATTTAATATATTTTAAGTGTGAGGGTTTATAGGTCAGTAAAGTATATAGCATTTTTTTTATATATTTTGCAAAATGTTTATGAGCACTGGCTGAGGAGCACAACATTGTCAAAAACTTTCTATTCCAGGTTTCAAAATTGTTTTCACTATTTGTTCTCACGTGAACATTTTTTGTCACTTTTCATTAAGTGACGATTAATAATGTTTTATGTTTACGTAGTGTTATAAAGTATAATGTATATATGTAGTTAGCTGATACAGAAATAGAAGTCTGTTAATGCTTTGAAAATGTTCTAGGTTTTCTTTTGTACGAGTTCATGTATATATATGTATCTATATATATATATATATTCTGTAGAAACTACTTATAAAAGTAAATATTTGTTATACTGGTCAATCAGTTAAGACTTCTGTAGATTTTATTTACCAATTAAACATCTTGAAAGGCATTGGTAATGGACTGCAGTCTATTAACAATGCGTTTGGACTATACCGCTCTCTGACTGAACCGTCTCTCGTATGAGTAAATATCATCAAAGATTGTTGGAAACCTATTCTAAAATTAATTAAAACAGAAATTAAATTTCAGATATTGTAAACTTCTCATACACCCTTAGTATGTACAATCTGTATTCATTATCTATTCATTTGCCATGTGGTATTATCAAGGTATGTTCCAAAGTGTATTTGATGTTGACCAGCTGCTTTCCCTCATTTACCATTGCAAAATTAGGAATGGCTACCACAGATACCACGAGTAGCATTACATAAAATTCAAAAACAAATGAAGCTGGGTTGAGAAATTAAATTTGGTGATTGATACATCTGCCACAGTACTTTTTGTTTTAAGTTTAGTATAAAAACCAATAAATTGATATCACCTGAAATAGTTATTAAAATTTTTCTTCCATTTGGTATATAAACACAGGTTGTGTGTTGTCATAACCAAAATACAAGCAATCATTATGAAACGACTTTTATCTTCAAGGGAAACTTGTTTCTAAATATGAAAAGAGAGGTTTGAATTAGTGCCATATTCTAATATATGCCTATTGTAAATATTAATTCAGGGAGGAATTCCAGAAATTCCAGGGTTGCCAAACCCCACCTTCTCACAAACAGTAGGAAGTATCACCACCCACCCTCATCATTGTAATTGGTGTCACAAACAGTATGCCAGCAAAGCTAAACTGTTGCAACATCAAAGGAAAAAACATCTTGAAGTGTTAGCTCTCACTTACGCTACATCGAAGAATCAGGTTAGTAATAGTACTTTGAAGTGTTAGCTCTCACTCTGCATCGAAGAATCAGGTTAGTAATAGTAGCTTAAAGTGTTAGCTCTCATGCTACATCGAAAAATGAGGTTAGTAATAGTAGTTTGAAGTGTTAGCTCTCACTTAAGCTACATCGAAGAATCAGGTTAGTAATAGTAGTTTGAAGTGTTAGCTCTCACTTAAGCTACATCGAAGAATCGGGTTAGTAATAATAGTTTGAAGTGTTAGCTCTCACTTGCGCTACATCGAAGAATCGGGTTAGTAATAGCAGTTTGAAGTGTTAGCTCTCACTTGCGCTACATGGAAGAATCAGGTTAGTAATAGTAGTTTGAAGTGTTAGCTCTCACTTAAGCTACATGGAAGAATCAGGTTAGTAATAGTAGTTTGAAGTGTTAGCTCTCACTTAAGCTACATCGAAGAATTGGGTTAGTAATAGTAGTTTGAAGTGTTAGCTCTCACTTGCACTACATCGAAGAATCAGGTTAGTAATAGTAGTTTGAAGTGTTAACTCTCACGCTACTTCGAAGAATCGGGTTAGTAATAGTAGTTTGAAGTGTTAGCTCTCACTTGTGCTACATGGAAGAATCAGGTTAGTAATAGTAGTTTGAAGTGTTAGTTCTCGCTTACGCTACATCGAAGAATCGGGTTGGTTATAGTAGTTTACTTTGTTACTTAGTAATTAAATAATAGGGATGTATAAAATTTATCTTTATATATTGTAAATACAACTGTCACCTTGTTTTTGTTAATGACAGACATGCAATGATAACGTGGTATATGCGTTAATTATCCATAAACTATAATTCTGGGGAAATGTAGATGTTAATTTTGTTGAAGAAATAAATTCTTTAAAACATAAAATATTTTATAATGCCTGATTCAGTCACAGGAAAGGATGTCTCCTTGTGTATGTTCTTGAAGTTAGGCCTGCATCTACCCCATCCTTCAAATTTTTAAGTTAAGAAGTAAAATGTAACTAGTATTTCAAATTTATTGCATGTAGAATTACATACAGATTGAAACAAGAAAGTTAATCAAGAAGTGGAGGAAATAACTTTTAACTTGTTCATACCTGTCAAGTACTGCAGGCTGGCCATTCTTTTATTACTTTAGAAAGTCTTGCAGCTCTAACCGTTTACTAAAGATAAAATGTCATGCCTTCCAGAGATGCACTGCTGTATCATTGCAGGTGAAATTTTGTGTCTGTCAAAACTTCCTTTATCCAAGTTGGTGACTGCATGCAAGAAGATGAAGTTCTGAGAAAGTATAAAAGATTCCCAGGGTGATTGTCCAATCTGTCCTGGGAGAAATCTGTATTAGATACACTGTATGCAATTGTGACAGATTATATGACAGCAATTATATGTCAGAGAATGATTCATCACACAGTCCTGTGAGTGACTTAAGAAAAATTATAGCTTTTGATGGTAACAACTATAGATAGTTGTGAAATATACAATTTGTTTTTATTGTCTAACACATGTAACTTGCTTCATGATTTCAAATTTGAGTTTTTTTATGTGGTAGTTCTTAGCATTACTGAAAAATTAGGAAATAAATATAAATTATGCCTCTTTCATTCTAGAATGAA